CCCCATATCAATGAGACGCACGAAGATCGGAGGGTAGAGTATAGATTGCCACATCGTAGCCGACGATAAAATGGAGCGACGACCAAAAAGAAGAAATAGAACCTGAGGTGATGCTTTTACAAGGGCATCCACTATACCGTTCGAAAGACCAGCGGGAGACATAGCAGGCGCAAGCGCAATGAATACATTGATCTGATCATTGAGCTTCGGGTGGACAGCCAAAGTCGCAAAAGCTTGGGCAGTTCCTTGAGAGAATCCAATATACGATAAAGATGGCGCAGAGGTTGTGTCAAGAATGTATTGGATAGTGTCAGGGATATCATAAAAGGCAAATTCATCCATGGAAAAGTCCCAGAAAGCTGTGTCTGTCGGTGAATGGTGGATGGACTTCTTGGAGTATTTGTTTCCACGATTGTTTCCAAGCTACAAATCTTTAGTCTCTCATGTGTGCATAAATTGACATGGGCCCAACTTACCCAAACATCATAACCTCTTTCCACCAGGGTAAAAGCTAAGCATCTCTCCTTATCAGTCAAACAAACCCAGACCTCGCTATTCATGAGCAAGCCATGGTGTAAATATACAACAGGCTTTTTAACGCTACCAGGTCCACTATTGACCTTTGTATTTTCTTCTCCTTTCTTCCAACCGAGTCGATGGGCGCATAGCAAATAGCCATCTTTGGTTTGTATAACATGCTCTTCGGCATAATAACCAGCTAATTCGCAGAGATCTACGAAATCTGAAGCATTTCGAATGGAGGTGGATATATCTGAGTCTGTCAGTCCTTCTCGTTCAGATTCTACTGAAAGACTGCTCCAACCTTGCTTTCGTGTCTCTGATTTCTTAGCTGCTGCAGATGTGAATCGATTAAAAAGGCGCCTCGAAGCTCGATAACATAATTTTATAATCGTCGAAGCTGTGCCACTGTTAGATAATCCCTCCAATGATGGCAAGTAGTGGGGCGGAACATACGAAGTGCCAATGTGAGTATTCTAATTATTGCTTCTAACCCAACAAGAAAGAACGAGCTTATCAATGCCAAATATTCGCTCCTGTATGATTGATCAGCGATTGCTACATATGACAATTAAGCAGAAAACTTACGGGCAGAGCCGTCCGAGAAATGGAAGATACATTGTGTTGGGTATCATCTGTCGAGGACTTTGTTTGCGCGGTGAGATAGTCTTATACAAACTGAGGAGGCGACCTTGACCGCAAAACAGATAACAAGCTTGATATATGCAGCTAATTGCCCTAGAAGATCTAGAATATAAGGGTCTGCAAAGAAACGGTATTAATTAAGCTAGGTTATTGACGTGGACAGAGCTCTAAAGATGCAAAGATGTAAAAGTGCATACACGTAGAGTCCAATCGTTGAGACCTTCATTGATGTCACATCCACTTGCACATGCTAAATCGCATGTCGCCTTCACTTCATTCACGCCTCGAGTGTTAAACCAAAAGTTGGTTGGTTGAGGATGATTGTTCAATTTAGACCTATCAAAGAAAAAAAATAGGGAGAGATGGACAAATACACTGCCAATTATCTCGAATTATTGAAGTTCAACATGGACGATAAAACAACAACAACAACAACAATTGTTGTCCCTGAATGTTTTATTTACTTGCGCGTTAGAAAATCTGGGGAGCGCGGGAGAGCGGGTAATCCACGGGGTTTGTAGCTTCCGCCCAAGAACTTTTGAAAGTGGCACTTTAATGGTTTGTTTGTGCCCATGAAATGTCATGTCATGACATAACCTACATGCTGCAAATTGAAGCTCTTTTAACAAAAGTTTCATACTCTTTTCTGTACACGGTTTACTAGACTGGAAGTATTTTGATCACAAATCTACACAAAGAGGACTAATCCAGTATGCCGAGTTCTTGTCAAGATATCCGTTCGCATCTTCCTTTCCTCCCTTCAATGCCTCGCTAAATTTTCGCAGGAGCTGCACTAGCACAATGTCTCCAAGAGTCAGACTGTGTCATGATTTATCGCAATAAGCCTTCCGATTGTCTGCGAGCTCCTCTCCTCGAAACCATGCCCACCAAGTGTCAACAATTGAAGACAGGCTACGGTGAATGCAAACGAGGCTTAGTCGATATGCGCAAACGATTCAGAGGCAATCAACCAATTTCTGTGAGCAAGGAGATTGAAGGAGGGGGAGAGAGAAACACCGGTGGACATATGCTCTATGCTGGAAAGCCAGCTTTTGAAAGCGGAGTCAAGGAGACAAGCGGAAACGAGCCCGAAGAGAAGGATTGGAGGCAGTTGGAGAACGAGAAGTACAGAAAGGAGTAGAAGAAATAAATGACTACTGCCAGGAAGAGGTATTGGGGTATCATGCTTTATATCTGTTTAAATTGGGGTTCTGTATTGCATTGGGAGGCGTTCAGGCAATGTATATCAAGAACATTACGCGATCAAGGTTGATTATCATAACGAAATTGCACGGAAAATCCACTCAAGCCACAAAAGTCACTCACGATAATACACCAGTCTCCGGGATAGGGACCTCATTGCGGTCAACTGTTGGTTCGTCATGCTATTATTGGTTTTTCCTTTCGTGGAGTGAAGCGGGATTTATGGTTGATAGGTTCTCTCAACCGGTAAATCGGATCCAAACTTCTATGGCTACACAGCCTTTGTTGCTTACTTTCGGTGTGACTCACGGATAACAGATATTGAGAAACCCGAAAGAACATGCGTTCGAGTCGGGTTTATCGACCGTGAAATTTTTTGGCTTCATCCACACCGGTCACAACTTTTCGAGGGAGTCAACTGGCACTTGACTGTATGCTGCATGAGTGCGAGCATGTACTCTTTGTTTGCATCTGTAGTACAGTCGCATTCGCCACCCTTTCTCAAAATCTGCAATCTTATATCACGCTGCAAGTTCGGCAAGAGCGGCCCAATGTCGGATTTTAAAACTGAACATTTGAAGCACGACGAGATACCTATCGAAAGAAGTTTTTCGGCCATTGGCATTGCAGTAGAACTTTAGTTGAAGGACATCTGATTTATATTATCCTTTTCTCGGACCTTCTGGTATTGGTATCTGCCATTTCCCTGCCATCGGCCCATGAGTAGCTCTACTTTACCCATCCATCCTACACTCCAACGCCATAAATCAACTTCGCAGAGACGACATTCATGTTGCTGCGAAATATTCAACCCATAAATATACAAAATTCGAAATAACTGTAGTCAATTCGTCATTCAAGCCCACCAAGGTTAAATTGGTTCAAAGTACCACCCCCACCCACCCATCCTCCTACCAGCTTACTACTCGACAACTTTTCACTCTGTGCCTGCTCATAACGACTCAGTAGATCTTGATACATATCACCAAGGTTATGTAACTCGGTACTGAGCATCTTCACCTGGTCTTCGAGTCGCTGTCGCTCGTTTGCTTGACGTTTCCGAAAATTTCTCTGAGACACGCGATTTTGTACAAGCCGACGCTACAGTTTGTCAGGTGAAATGAGCCTAAAAATCAGGAGAGTGTTCATACCATCTTTTGTGCGGGTGTCTTTTCTTTTACTGAATCTGTTGAGTCATGCGATGTCTCTCGTGTGCGACTACCTTGGGATTTGGGTTTTCGTTCACGAGAAGCTCGATTGTGGCCTCGTTTCTATATTTCGTCCGTCAGTTTAGGAAGCAAGAAGTCTCTTTGACCTAAGGCATTATTATAAAAACTCACCAATTCGCTTGATAGCTCATTGATCATCTCGTTCCTTTCCAATCCATAATTCCTACTCTTCTTTGTCGAAATGCTTTGTTCCAATTCTGGCACCATAGACACATCAATGGTATCGAGGTATGGACTCGGATACGGCGGTATAGTATATATACTCTCCGTCTGTGGGATCGTACAGGTTGTCTGTTCGTTATGTGAACACCTTGCTACAATGGGTCTAAAGAATGAACGTACGTATGGAAAGCCAGATCCGAATGCTTCGGTATTCAAGTCACACGGTGCGTCTTGATCAAATGCCAAAGAGGGAGGCGAAGGAGGCGAATACCAGATTGGAGTAGAAATTGCCATTGAATGTTAGTCGTATGATTAGCCTGTATAAATATTTTTGTGTGAGTTTGAAGTTTGTTAGGATGCTTGTTGTTGTGATTGAGGTTTGTCTACGTTTTAAAGTCTCGAAGGACTCGAAAGTATATATAATCAGTAATCAAAAATGAGTCCAGTAGCTTACAAAAGCTTCAACCGCCGCCTGTTCCCGAGTCTCTAGGCAGCGGCAGTAGAGTGTTGCGCAGCTTAGATTGGTAGCCTTTCAATAGGCTATATCGATCACACACACCATACACACCATGCAAAAATCCAGCTTACATATCCGATCGGCAACACAAAACACCGGTAGAACAATCGATGGAAAGTTCTTAATTATGGTCCGCCTTTTCAAGGGTCGAAACAGGGTCTGACATCATCTTTTACTGCTATTTCAGACGGTGAGTGGAAAGCCACACAGGTGCAGATAATATCACTCATCTGCGGAAAATCAAACTACTTTGGGATGTGGTGGACGCCTTTCAACATACATGCATGAGATGACGAGGCTTTACCGTATTCGGCGCATGCACTTTGAACCTGGGGATCCACGTGTATGGGCCGTCTTTTGCTCACTGCATTTAAGCTTGATATTCTTTCCGCTCGTTATCTGCAGAGTCAGCGAGAAGATAAGGATGTTATTGGATACCGAATCGAGTTTCTTCATCGGGCGTCTTGCGTAGGTGGAAAAGCCGCATGCATTCGGCCTTTCCGCGTCGCTCAGAGATGATTACAAAGACGGATTTACGAGGACCGGGTTTAGAGCTTTACATCCAGAGGATCTGCATTCTTTGATGCCGGTTAGGTGAACTGGATGGAAGCGTTCCTTCTAATCATTCCGTGGTGGAAGCGGGCGATAAGTCTTTTGTAATCATAGGGTGTCGTGCGGTTGAGAAGGGTCTGGGACGGACTATATACATTATTGTAAGTGACAAATCAAAAAGATACTTCGCGCCATTCCGCGCTGCTGCTTAAATGTATCTTCTCGTGTATATCGGCTTTACAAAAAATCATAGTGGATGAACTGAGACTAGCTTCCAGCTCCCTGTGATCGGTCCCTAAATAAGTAGCTAACGTGCTTTTCACTATCTTCTAGGTCTCAACTCTAGAATCTTATACCTCTATCATCGCATTCGCTATATGACACGCTCTGCAATGACGTTCGACTGGAAAGCGTTCTCCACGAAGAATAACTCGAGCTAAAGTTTATTTAGCTCGTCTCCAGTCTGTACTCGTGTCTAGTAATGCGTGTTTGCAGGCACGAGGAAATTGTCCTTGTTGTTGTGGAACGCTGCGGGATCAGAATGATGCCGTTTGGAGATATATCAGGGAAGCCAGATGGAAACACTTGTGGATGCTGGTGCCGAGAGGGTCTAGGGGTCGTGGACTCGAATTGTCAGGCGAAAGCCAGTTCATTCCTGTGAAAGATGAGCGGATGCCGGAGCTGAAATTGGACCATTGTTTTGCGGATTCTATTTTAGGAGCTGCTTCTTTGATCGTTTCAGTGGCTTTATCGAGACTATCGACCATTCTTATGAAGTCTGTACAAAGAGCGTTTCGAGAATACATTTTGGTAATTTCGTATTTGGTTGTCGAGTATCTCAGTGTGTTTGTGTTCGTTTCTGTCAGGTGTTCATCATATCGAGAGTACCTGGTGTACATTGGTCTGCTGACTTGTATATCGTCTCTACACAAGTCAAGGCCGAAAGATGAAGTAATAGCAGTAATTAGCGCTAACTGATAATAGTTATGCGAGTGCAACAACAACTTTCAACAGCAAGCTGCAATGGTCTAGACTTAGAAACGGCAACAAGACCTCCTCCTACATCTAGCCATCCGGTCCGATATATTCATATGATTACCAAAGTCTTAAGGGAGTCCAGAAAGTAATCTACTCGGACTATAAAGACATAAAAATGAGCAGTAGGTTCAGAAAACCCACCCCATGACTTGTGAAGCTTGCAACAGATCCAGTACTTCTGTCGGAAAGAGCTTGTACGGGATCATTAAGTCTCTTATTTCCCACGCGCAGACCCTCCGTATTATGTTTTCTGGCGATACCTGGTTCTGTTGGGCATGAAGTTGGACTATATGGTGGATATCGAATCCCTCGATGATGTGAATTGGTTCAGACTGAAGCCAAGATACTTTTGAAAATAGCTATCCGACTCGAAGAAAATTTGTTCCTGCAGTCTCTCGATCCATACGTGATGCCGTTATCCAGCAGTCTTCTCTTGTTATCATTTACTCCAATAGGCATAAAGAGCCTTTTCATGAGGGAAGCGAAGCTGAAAAGCTTACAGTAATGAAGTAGCTTTTGGACATCCGACCCCTCGCCAAGTCGTAATCTTGAGATTGGATCTACATCCGCAATTCCAATTCTACTCAATAAAACAATTGCCTCGCTTTTTTTGGAAGCCGATTGGGCAAGCTTTGAGGGTTTCAAGATCACTTTGAGTCTTTGCTCTAGAGAGTTCTATCCGTGACGCTTCACGAGCGGCGGATGTCTTAGCGTCTTCATTCCCAACATCAGAGCCAGAGAACCCTTTCTAGTTTCAACACTTGACCCAAGAATTCATTACGTTGCAGTAATTTACGCTTCGAGGCCTTAGACTTCAATATATGTGACTCCCTCTTTCAAGGCTCTCTAGCCTTCTTGACCCTTTGCAACTTTTTCTCGCGCCAAAACTCGCGTATAACATGACTACGAGCTTCGGTTCTGGGGCTTTAGCTATTACCCACTTGGATGAATGGGAAGTCTCCTACTTTGCTAGAGCTTAGTTTGCTTTCACCTGAAGCCACAGTTTTTAAAATATGAGTGTGAGGTAAGGATTTTGCTTCAGGTGTGATTGGCATTGTATATCTTGAGTATATAAATCAGTAAACCCAGCGTATTGTCAGAACTTAGCATTGAGAATTCTCCATTGGTAAGTACTTTTCCACGCGCCTGCGAATATTTCACTATCGCCATCTAAAGACATCGGTGACAAACTCCTAGACACGATTGCTCAGTGTGAGTCAGACTCGAGGACCTTTATTCTGGTCCTATGAACAGGCGTCGGAAGAGATGAAAACGATATTCAGTCACGTCTGATGTAACTTGTTGTGAAAAGTCTCCTGTCACGATTAGGAGATCTAGTAAACTCACATATAATCCAAATTATCGAGGTTCTTCTTTTTCTATCGTGTGAAATTCTACAGGCTTCAACCTGATTCAGTCGACTTGAGCGAACTATTGTTCATCTTCATTCTACAAACACTTCATTGACTCACCGCAAATGTCTCTGGAGGAAGGAATAAGCTGTCGCCCAATACGGAAAACTAACATCGTTTAGATAGATCAGCCGGCTTCGACTGAAAAGCTCAGTATCCAACATTAGCTTCGTCCCCAGCTTAGTTCCTATACATGAAACGCAGCTCAATCACATGTATTCGGATATGTGTTAGTACAAATTTCCGCTATTTATCTTTTATATCTAGGAATTTTGCACTGCATCCAAGACCCATTTCACTCCATCTACAACCATATCTGGCTGAGTTACCAGAATGAAGTGACCACTCTTATCAGCAAAGACAAGTTTTCCCCTTGTAGAAAGTTTCAAATGTTCCTTCATAAGCCCCTCACTCTTCTCATCAGCAATTTCGATCAGGTTCCTAACATAGCTCCTCTGATCCTCAGTTCCATTTCCCTTCTCAACACCCGCCTTGTACAACCCACTCCAATCCCTGCTCCTCAGACCCCCAATTACATAAACCGGCTTATCTCCAAGCAGCGGCTGCTTCTTCCGCAATTCTTTCTTCAGCAAAGTCTCAAAACTCGGGACGTATTCATCATCCTCTTTCTTTGCCTGTAGCAAGTATTTCTCTGTTCCTCCTTCGCCTTCGAATGCATCCCATTCTTCCGGGGTGAACTTATGCTCCGATCTGATACCAACACTAGAAAAGAAATCAACGCCTTCGGAAATCGCTTGGAGATTTGCATCATTAGGATTCAGTACCTGTAGTGCGGTCTCGTGATTCGCATCGACAAATATAACACCAGCGATATGAGGGCCATTTCCTGTAAGGGCAATGAATTCGTTTATGAGTACACCGGCCCAAGAATGTCCAACGAGAATCAGAGGGTTGGAGATAAAAGCTTTCTTAATTAGATAAGATAGTTCTAAAGCAATATTCTCGGCTGTGGGCGCGAGAGGTGAGAGCTCGGAATTGCCATAACCGGAACGGTCGTAATTGTAGCTGCGTAACGAGGGAGGAAGTAGCCGTGTCACAGCCGCCCATATGCGACTGGTGCTTTCTACGCCTGCTATGAATAACACAACGGGAACTTTGGAGCTGCTGGGTTCTGAGCCGTGGGTGTAGAGGGCGAGAGAGTGAGTGCCGATGTTGATAAGAGTGGGGGTTGAGGAAGACATTACGAGATTATTGGCGATGAGGTTCAAATTTCCAATGGGGTGTGATAAATGATGATCCTCTTCAAACATTCGAATCACTGCATTCATACATATACTTCATCCCTATTAATGCTTTGTCAACTCTCTTAGTCAGGCCGGTCATCTTCCTGAGCGTAAGCGAAGCTCGGACATGATCATGATCAACGACCGCTAAGCTTCTATACATCTGATTGAGGATTTCTACAGAGATCTCCAGGGGAATAGAAGTCTTTACGCAAAAGTACCTTGAAAGCACGTCACAAGTATTAAATGTAAAGGCTGAATGGCGTGAATCTACAGCCATGTAAGCGCTAGCCGATTGCCAATTCCAATATCTCACGCTTAACTATATTTGATTCTTTGAGCCGAGATCCGAGAGTACTAATAGAAAAGCATTTTCTTATCTATCCCGAGCCTGTAAGTAGCACTATTTTCAGGGTAGTGGCTCGAAAACAGTATGCTTATCAGCTATTTAAGGGGAAACCCTAGCTTTCTGCTACCCATATAGTTTAGACTCGGAACTGTTAGCCACTTCGGGTAAACTACAGCATACCCCTGAGCCTGCAATCGGTACCGGTAACTCGGAACGATATCCAACAAAACCGCCCAACATCTCGACTGCCAAGCCCGTCTCATTCTCATTCCTGCTTGCTTTATCGGTCTTGCTTGAGTTCGTCTCGTAAAAATATTTCTTAGTCATGAACACTTCTAGCGTTTGTGTGGCAGATGCTGATGCGCTTTTTGATCCTCAGGTCGATCCATGTCGTAGACAATTCGACTTCACGTTACTTTTCGAGCAGCAGAGTGTTTTTACCATTGAGCCATCTGCAATTTTTGTCTTACTGCTTTCTTTGAGAATACCGAAACTCTATCGGGAGAAAAGAAAAACATTGCCAAATTCACTTTGGGGGTTTAAATTGGTGTATTTTCCCCATTCATTATTGCTGTACGCGTGACGCTGACAACGATAGATTGTGATATCAGTCATTTTGTGTCTTCAAATTGCACTTTTAGCATCATGGATAGTTTCTCAGGGTCAACAGACACCCGTATTTATTCCAGCAACTGTCCTGTCGGTAGTTGTCACGATTGGTCTCGCGGCATTATCGACCCTGGAGAACAATCGATCTATACGTCCCTCATTAGTAATATGCACCTATCTTCTCCTTTCCACGATATTGGATTTAGCTCAGGCAAGAACTCTTTGGTTGCAACATGGAAACACAGCATTGTCGACATTATTCACATGAAGTGTGCTAGCCAAAGCATTTCTACTATGTCTCGAAGCATTCGAGACAAGATCTTTTCTCAAAGATCCTTACAATAGATACCCTCCTGAAGCTTTGGCAGAAGTTATAAATACGAGTCTTTTCTGGTGGCTTAATACACTTATCCAAAATGGTCACAGGAACTTACTCAGTCTTGGTGATCTCTTTGACACCGATGAAGCCTTGTCATCTTCTTCCCTAGAGACAAAGATGCAAACTGCATGGCGAAATCAATCGTCCAATAGAAAATATTCCCTCCTCTTCGGTATTCTCACTCGTACTCGCGGGATCGAGCTATGATGAAGTTTGGTACAATGCCGTGCTTAAAGCTTGTGTGCTTCATCATGATATTGCTACGTTTCCGGATGGCGAGGAAAAAATGATCGGTAGTGATGGGGCTACTTTGAGTGGTGGACAGAAACAGAGATTGGTGAGTTGATGTACTGTTTACTCGAAGCAAGTCGCCTACTTCCTATGTGAAAGCTAATCGTGACCAGGCACTGGCACGCGCATTATATTCCAGAAAAGAGTTACTTTTGATCGATGATGTTTTCAGTGGACTAGATTACAAGACAAGTAAGGCTGTATTCCGCAAGATTTTTGGTCCAGAAGGACTATGCAAGTTGCATAACATGACTGTGGTTCTTGCCACACGCGCGGGTAAGGGCAAACTAAAACTCAAGTAAGACCAGACCGCAAACAAAATGAAATGAGCTGACGAGATTTAGTCGAACATCTGCAATCTGCCGACAACGTTATTGTGCCTCTAACCATGGCACCATTCTCGAACAGGGAAACTTTCGAAAACTGCGAGGAAATAATGATAGCTATGTCAAAGACTTGATATTGCATGAAAATCCAGACGAGAAATCAGCCGAAGACTCAATCACAGGAACCACGAACAAACCACAAATCAAACCAGAATCATCCGAACCCAACGACATAAATCGTCAAGCTGGCGATTTCAGTGTCTACTTCTACTTCGGTAAATCCGTAGGCTGTATCTATTTCTGTCTCTTCATCGGAACCGTACTTTCATACACATTATCTAGCGAATTCCAAGCTGTTCTCCTAGAACTATGGTCCAAATCAGAGATTCATCATTCAAGTATCTATACAAATCTATACATGGGTTTGTACGCCATGCTATCCATATTAGCCTTATGTGGAATCGGTGGATTGCTATGCGTCACATTGTTATTCGCAGGTCCATATGCATCTATCAATCTTCACCGCGTACTTTTGCATACCGTCATGAACGCGCCGTATTCCTGGTTTCCCGCAATTGATAGCGGGGTCACGCTGAATAGGTATGAAACTTCATAATCTAATACTATTACTAGGTAATACCAACTAACACTCTATAGATCCAGTCAAGATATGAGTTTAATCGACATGGAGCTGCTGATCGGAATCGTCGACACATTTGCCGGTTTCTTCATGGCACTCGCTCAAGCAATACTTATCGCCACTGGCGCCAAATACATCGAGTCATTCTCCCATTCATAATCGGAACTCTAGATATTCTCCAGAAAGTATATTTAAAAACATCGAGACAACTGCGATTATTAGATCTAGAATCTAAATCACCGCTCTACTCACATTTTACTCACATTTTACAGAAACACTCAGCGGACTCGCGACGATCCGCGCTTTTGGATGGCAAATCCATTCCGCGGAGAAGAATCGAGGACGTCTAGTTCTCTCCAAAAACCTTACTATTTACTATACTGTATACAGAGATGGCTGAATCTGGTTTTGGATCTCATCATTGCTGGTATTGCTATTCTTCTCATCACTTTTGCAACACAGATGCGCGGGACGACCAGTGCAGGGACTCTCGGTATCGCTTTAGTGAATATTCTACAGTTCAACTCGACGTTGAGTTTTCTGATTAGAAAATGAACGCAGCTAGAAACTGCTATTGGTGCTGTAGCTAGAGTCAAGAGTTTTGAAGCGAATACTTTGTCGGCGAATGGTTCTTTGGAAGTTAATCTACCGCCGCCTGAATGACCTGTTAAGGGTAAAGTCGAGTTCAAAGATGTGACGCTTCTTATGGGTAAGAGCCTAACCGGGAAGTATAAAGAAGCCACTAATAGTATTAACAGTATCGACGAACCTGCTGTGCGGGGTAACTCATTTTGTATCGAGGGTGGCACGAAGCTAGGTATAGTTGGACGGACTGGATCGTGAGTCTAGCCTCCCATTCTCAAAGTTTAAAGATCTAACATATCTCTCCATAGTGAGAAATCATCTCTCACATTAGCACTCTTCCGCATGCTTGAGTTAAAAACAGGAGATATCCTCATCGATGATATCTCCATATCTACTCTCCGCCGTGATTCAGTACGCCGTTCCTTCATCACCATTCCCCAAGAACCTTACTTTCTATCTGGTACTGTCGGCTTTAATGCCGATCCATTTCATTCTCGAGACACCAAAGCAATCCAGACTGCGCTTGTTCGTGTTGGACTATGGGACATAGTATGCGATAACGGAGGTTTAGAAGCACCTATGAATGCAACGCCTCTTAGTCAAGGCCAACAGCAACTTTTCTGCATCGCGAGAGCATTAATTAGGAAAATGGCGTTGGGAAATAAGGATCATGGAATTCTGGTGCTCGATGAGGTGACGAGCAATGTTGATTCTGCTAGTGAAGAAATCATGTTGAGGATTTTGGATGATGAGTTTAAGGGCTGGACAGTACTTGCTGTCGCTCATAGATTGGGAACGATTAGGAGGTACGATAGAGTTCTGGTTCTTGATAAGGGGAGTGTGGTGGAGGATGGAGCGCCGGAGGATTTGATCCGAAAAGAGGCAGGGCTATTTAAGGAACTATGGGAGAATGGATTTGGGAGACAGAGTACAGTGTAGTGTGCTGAGTAGAGCTATGTTTCTTTCTCTGCCTTTGTTGTTTCTTTTACTTGAATTAGCTTCATTTTATCATACCATTAAACCTATCCGTAATGTGGCATACACTCGTACCCATACCGGAAGCTTTCACCACACCCAATACAATTTGAAGTGAAAACTCTTCAATGTGCACACTAGAATCAATCTATCGACGATTCAACTGGCCCCCATTACATGTAGCACACTCAGTTCCCCATTTGATCCCCATCGCATCCAGTCAATGTCGTGTTCTGGACTACCATCACATGTTGACCTCTTCTGACAATCATAACTCTATCCAGAGACACAGCGTCGCCGATTTATTTTTGAAATGGAAGAGGATAATAAGAATATTGGTTATCAAGACATTGATATCATGATAAAGAATACGAGGCTGTCCACCGGTCCATCATCGGCTAACCTTACCCTTTTCCATATTTAGTCCGAGATCCGAGTCATAAATTCTCCTTTCTCTTCCTGAGGCTGAGTCAAGTGTTTCTCTTTATCAAAGAAACATCATGACGACGCGGCGTCTCCGTTGATAAAAATAAAAATATCATTATCTTGTAATGCGAAATATATCTTCAATTTCTCTTTGTACACCCATTAACCACGGCGTCAACAGTGTTGTCCATTTTCAATTTCTATGCTTTCATGCACATCTCTTCTATTAACAAAGGGATTCCCTACACACTTTCTTTCCTAAGCGTGAAAGAAATGGGATGGAGATGCCGCAGTGGAGTCCTCTCCATCCACACATCGTAGTGACCTTCGAGTACCAGAAATCGCAATCAAAATCTCATTTCGTGAACGTTAGGCCCCAGCAGAAATCCTGGTATCCGGACACGGGTTTCTAGGACTTGAAGGGCATGGAGCCTGTAGGGCCAATATTCTTAACCCCTCCAAGATTCCCTGGAGTTCTAGAACGATTGGGATAACAAGAACAATATTGGTTTGTGCTAAGGTTGCGTGGATCCGGGAACATTGATTAGTAAGTACTTTTACGGTATTATGACTATGAGAGTGAGAATCATATTGATTGAGGTAAATAAAATGATAAACATCTGATGGTAGATGGAGTTGAACTTGATGGGGTAACTTGGATGGAGATTTGCTTGTTGAGAGTTTCCACTACTGTATCGGTAGTACCGTTTTTTATTATGCTATGATAATAATTCTGGGTACCGATGAATGCCCACTCACTGTGTGCTCCGTATACTACGCGGCTACGACAGATTTGATTTTGATTTCGATTTTGATTTCGATTCAGAATACGATTCCACGAAAAGAAGTCGAGCACGGTGAAGAATGAAGAATGAAGCATCAAAATTGATGATTAGTAAATAGTAATCTAACGGCGGTGAACACAAAATGATGCCGCGGATTACGACCCCGTACAAACGGATATTCTCCCAAGGTAACATTAGCAAGCATGTCCATAGAAAGAGAGCCACGACTCTCCTCTCCAATCTTAATCCTCCCCATCCATGATCTAATCCCGACAACGGAAAATGGCAATCGGCCTCGTGCACGCAGTAATGCAACAATAATGCAAACACGGCAGCGACGATCGGCGGAGCGCACTGTGTCTAGCGACGTACGAAGGAAGTACTGCAATGAAGATCTGATAGCTATCGTAAAACAGGTAATCTCTCATCCCTATGAATGGTGTATCAAAAAAAACTCCGAGCTATCTGATCAATGCTTTTTCTTCTCCTCTTGCTTCTTTTCCCCGTCTTCTCCTTTATGCCAAGCTTTGCGATCAAACATGTTAAAAGGAAAGACGAACCCTCCTTGTTACTGTTTGGGGGTGTTGACCAATTGATTCTCCTTGTTACGTTTTGTAGATAGGTACTCTGTAGTAGGTAAATGAGTAGGTGTAGTTGGACAATAATTTCTAAATCATCATACATACAACCTGTGAGGCATACCTAGGTAATTTCTATACGAATCAGACAAAAGTTCTTATTTTCCCAATAATCAATATACTGCCCCTGGTTCTCCCTGGTGATATACCGGCATTATATACCTCCTACCTATCAGCTTACCAGACTTTCGACGCTTGTGAGTAAAAATGCTCGGCTAATGGATAATTGTCAGTTCCTGATTATGGTGAGGAGATCTAATGCAGGTACAAGATTCACAAGCTTGCCGAGAAAATCGAAATGCCAATAAGAATGGGGAGATGCTCTAGACCTTGCTGTTCCTCTTACCAAAGAAATATGATGAACGTATGATAAGGGTCGTTGAAAGGGTTTCTAGACCTCCGTCCAAGAACCTTGGAACCTTTGGAATTCCTTAATTTTGAGATTATCAATAACTATAGATTTTGGAGCATGTGTGTATGTATATATGTATATATGTAAGTATGGTATGGACGTTACATCTGCATTTCTTCAGAGCCGAGCTGAGCTAGCAAGCAATACTATCGCTTTTGTTTGCCTGCTAGCTAGCCGTTCAATCAAGTAAAACCGAAACGAAACAAGAACGCAACCAGCAGCGAGGTTTGCAACATGTCCTCCTCATCCATGTCAACCCCAGACTTCTCCCTCTTGCAATCTTGACATGCACCAACAGTCAGGGAGCGAAATTCATGCGAGACCCTGTTGGAAATCTTGTTGGTCCCACACGGTCGTTTCATTAATCAATACGAGATGAACTGCCGCATGCTCGGTGGCATCTGGACTTCTCGATATGACATCACGTCTGCGGGTGGAGGTTTAATACATATTCTTGTGAGATGTGCGGTTCCGTGGACGGGAGGAATGAGATATTCGTGTGTGGTTATGAACCTGTCGTTTGGTTATGGGCTTAAATACCTCATACAATGTGAAGTTGGATGAATCGGGAATTTACAGTAGGGGATGAATAACCTCAACGGCGACTTGATGATTTGATTAATTAAATGCTTCACAACCATAATTTCTTAGTACGCCCTTCCTCCATAGATCTAGGCTGCCCATCTATCGATTGATCTCTCAATCTGTAAAGGAATGCCTACTAGATCATTACCCAGCCAAGGCACCTCACCTGTCCATCAACAATCCAACACCCGACCCTACTAAGGCTCACCCACCGACCACGGTGATCTCCACCAAACCCTTCAACCCAACCTTTTTGATCCTCCAGGAACAATCTCCCTAGTAAATATACATCACATCACATCGAGGCCGTGTTTCGGGTTTCACGATGAAAGATTTCCAGCAAACCCAGTCAGATTTCATCCTTTTCCTTTCTTCGCCTCCTGCGTTTCGTGATTCTCCTTACTGTACGTACATAGCCAACTACTGCATCCCTCCCCAGAATATACTCCTCCCATCCAACTTATCGAATTCCACGCGAAAGTAATAACTAAGGTGAAAATCGAAAAACCATCAAATGATCATCGCATTGGTAATCTTTTCAATATCGTGCAAACGTTCCATCGACAAATCGGTATGAAATGAAATATCTCTCCAGGAATAGTTGTACAAAACTGTTTCAACTGAAACATTATACACAGCACCATTCTCTCCCTCGTACATCTCATGATACATACAAGAGCGTCAAATTCCCCGGTCGTCGTGTTATGTATGAATGAGATTGGTTTCGAGAGAGACAATAGCGTTTTATTTCAAAGAAAATAGATTGTAATCTTACGATTCGTATCTATCCAATTTTGAATCATCACCTCCAGCTCTCATACGAATGTGCTTTGAGGTACCTACTCATCGAGAAATCGATGCTTGAATCAGAAATTAAATGATAATATTAAGATTTTTTAATGCTGCTTCTTCTTCTTCTTCATCATCATCATCATTTTACATTTCTATTTCAAATCTCCATACTCAAATCATAATTTTATTCGCATCAATATCATTTCACACCACATCTCTTCACAAACTGACCGTTGTCTACCCATCCACCCACGAAAAAACCCCAGCACCACCCCCTCCCAAACCCAAAGTACGTACCGTCCTTAGTCCCAGCTGTCCGAGGTGAAGCAAGCAAAGGCTTCTATAAAGTGTTTCACTCAAAGTGCCCACTGACAGCGGATACCCCTACCACTAGTCCTCTCGAGCCATCCAGAAATTCCCTGGGTAGTGTCCGCATCTTCATCTCGCCGCCGCATGATTCGTTTGCCAACATCCGTGAGCGCAAAGATCCAATCACCGCGCGCGAAACCCCTTCCCCCTGCAGAAGTACTCTCCTCTCTTCAAATCCGTCTCCGAGTGTTTGCGTCTAAGCCATCCTGGTTTATTCTGGGTTCATCTTATTTCTTTCGCGCTTTGCTTTTCGGGGCAGAGTACTTGTGATAGGTAATTTGGGACAATACTTACTTAGAGAAAGGGAAGAAAGAAAGAGCGTTATTCAGTCATCAAGTCTTCATATTAAAGAAAGAAATAAGAACACGCTAGCACACGACGTGGAAATCCTCAAGGTAAGTGAACTTGACACAAGTGAAGATTTTGGTATCTTAGATACGCTATCTTCGGTCTATCCCGTACGCTATCCAATTGACAAGAGAGCTCTTTGACGACGAAGATGGGTGTTTTCTGGTCGTAAATAATGCACTTTGTGTTGTTTCTTTCTGTGTTTCTATTCTGAGGAAGAAAGAATGGATTTAATGTCATTGTCTAGTTTCTATTATCGTATCCCATTCGCGTCTTGGTACCTGAATGACGAGTTTCGAGGAACGATTGAATAAAGGGAATACTTTGCCGATAGAGAAGAAAAGAAGAGAAGTGTGATATCTCGATATAACTTCAAAGAGGTTCATCAACATTATCCATCAGTACGCAGACTACGGAAATTACCCTTGATTATTTAATATCCATCCAATTCCCCCTTCAATCTTTTAAACCTTCATTCACCAGAATACTATCTACATTCAATCGTTTATTTTAACATTCATTACCCTTTTTAGTTATTTTGATTAGAAAATATCCTTGTTAAACATCATCATCCAATCCTTCTACTTTCCACCAGAAACCCTGGACCAAAGCACTTTCACAGGACCCACTAAATCTTATTAGCACCGCTCCACACCAAACCAACCCCAGTCTCACCCATCCATCAAACTTTACTCCTTTGAAATAAAACCACCTTCTTTTCCACCCTTCTGGATTTCGTCCTTTTTACCCACCACCACCACCACATTTACATTCCTTACAACCAGTCTTTCGAGGCACTTACACTCATTCGAGCAGCTTGAAATTCTTCGAAAGAATATATCCTCACGAGTACAGCAGTGCTGCCAATCTTTTAACGCAAATTTCATAAAGAAACTCCCGGTCCAAGCACTCTCTTTCACTTTCTCGAAGAAAGCAACGGAAATTTCACAAGCCCTCTCAACACAAGGAAATTGAAACCCCACATCACCATCAACATCAATCAAAAATGCGTTCTTCAATCGCTCTCGCTTCCCTCTGCGCTGCCTTTGCAGCTGCTTCCCCGCTCGTCAAGAAGGGTCTTGAGATCACCCCTCCCGCTCAAGTCGTCGAGACACACGTTGATGTCGTCACAAACGTGGTCATGGTCACTGTTACTGGAGAGCCAGTCATCGTCACCGCTGGAGCCGAATCTACCCCCGCTCCCGTTATCGTGACTGTCTCTGCCCCAGCTCAATCTAGACCTCACAGATACTCTCAAGCCGCCCCTGCCCCGGCACCAACTACAACTTCCCAAGCTGTCGTTGTCGTCACTGAAACCCAAGCCCCAACTTCCCAAGCTGCCGCCGCCGTTGCTACCACTGAAGCTGCTGCCGCCAAGGTTGTCGAAGTCACCACAAGCTCCGCCGCCCCTGTTGTAGCTGCTACTGAAGCTGCCTCCGCCACCAATGCTCTCACCCCGACTTGTGTCACTGCACACAACAATGCTCGTGCTAGTCATAAAGCTAGCGCCATGACCTGGAATCAAACCCTTGCTGACTACGCCGCTCAAGAGGGTAGCTGTACCAAATTCGCCCATGACTTGTAAGTTTGCTTGCTCTCTCACATATCCAAATATAATGCTAACACAAAACAGGACCGCTGGTGGTGGTGGATATGGACAAAACATCGCTGTTTCCGGAAACTCCGACGCAACTGCTTTTACTACTGAAGCTGCCCTCGCCGATCACATCAAGCAATGGTATGAAGAGGAATCTCTCTTCGGATCCTTATACGGTGTTGCCAGCCCATCTGAGGCCGCTGGTGACTTCTTGCATTTCACTCAAATAGTCTGGCAAGGATCTCACCAAGTTGGATGTGCCGTGCAGACTTGCGGTACTGACAACTCCATCTACCCAGGCATGTACATCTGGTACAGCGTCTGCAATTACTACCCAGCAGGAAACGTCCTTGGTGAATTCGCCACCAACGTTCTCGCTTAAATGATATCATGCCCATTTGCACATAAAGGAGTTCTTGGCGTTTAAGCTCTGTAGCTTAACTTACCTTTCATGTATGAACTTCTATCGAGAGGAGGCTTTTGTTGCCGGCTCTGGGCCGCAACTCCACACCTCCGATACGCATCTAACGACATCATATAAAAAATGGACAGAAATGGATGGATCTCGCGTCTTCCCTGGGTGTTCGACGACCTTCTTGACTTTATGCGTTGCGCCTTTAGATATCCCTTGATAGACTTGGGTTCCTAATTGCTTCAAGTTATTTCGCACGTATCAGCATTCTTCTGCTCATCATTCAGTTCTTGTACATAGTTGAACTTAAACAGGTCCTTGAGATCCTTTTTCCAAAACTTCATTAGCTCCTGATTGTACCTGTGATTGTGCTTTGACTACGATTTGATTGTGATTTGCCATTCCTCTGAGGCATGCCAAGGTGTAAGATGACTGATGGATTTCCTTCAGATCAATGAGGAATCTCGTTAATCTTCACACGCGTTCTTGGGCGTTGATCCGACCTAGTTCAAACGGATCTACAACGATGTGACGATAGATGCATGGTTGAAGTGAGGTGTGATTGAGATTTGGACGGGATGAATAAAGCTTGGCGACAATGAGTCAGTATTCGGTAGTGGCAGCCGCGGGATAAAACGGTCCGTGCCTATATCTGAGCTAATCAAGAGGTAATGGCATACTGACGATAAGGCGATACGCCTAGAAATGTCTCGACTTTTTTCCGTCTTCACACAATTCTAGGTACATGAAGTTAGTTAGGTATCTTTCCGAATTCCAGTAGTGTGTGAACTCTTCTTTCAATGCTTTGATTATCTTTAGACATCTATTTGAGTGTAAGATATCTTAGATTGTATCTGATATTCGTCTGAAACAAAGTCGTCCTTCGAAACCGACAGTTGTGCTATTTGATCAGGATAACGAGGCAGCCGTTAGTAACCTTGAGAATCAACTCGACAACACAGACAGCTCAACTCCACTTCTCGTGCACGCGAATTTCACCTTCCCATTTGAGATCGAATATACAGATTACGGTCCACTTCAAGACCATTAACCTTTTATATTCAAAGATAGACATTTGAGTTCAGAGCATGATGAGTTCAAACATGCGTGGAGTGGGGGAGGCGCAAGGCATAGGACAGGCTTTGAAGGGTATGTTGGGAAAAGCCCCTACGACGGTACCGGAACAGAAGAATGATAAAGTGCAGCTGGTCAACAGAGCCAGTGAAAGCAAGAGTCCATATGTTCGCGCTCATTCTGCGAATCCGGTCGCATGGCAGCTTTGGGGAGATGAAGCAATTGAATTGGCGCGTCGGGAAAATAAATTGTTGTTTGTGAGCATTGGTTACAGCTCCTGTCATTGTAAGTTCTCCCTCCTTTGAAACTCGCCAAATGTACGATCAAGGGCTCATGACATGGGACAAAGGGTGCCATATAATGGAGCGCGAGTCATTCGAAAACGAAGAAGTAGCTGCGAGATTGAATAGCTCATTTATACCCATCAAAGTCGATCGCGAAGAACGTCCGGATATTGATAGGATTTATATGAACTTTGTGCAAGCCACGACTGGGTCTGGAGGATGGCCACTGAATGTCTTTCTGACACCGAGTTTGGAGCCAGTGTTTGGAGGCACATATTGGCGGGGACCGAGTAAGACGACGGATTTCGAAGACCAGGTCGACTTTTTGGGAATTCTGGATAAATTGAGTACAGTTTGGTCAGAACAAGAATCGCGATGTAGACAGGATTCGGCACAAAGTTTGCAACAATTGAAGGATTTCGCTAATGAGGGTACCTTGGGTAACAGACTTGGGGAGGGTGTGGACAACATTGATCTCGAATTACTGGAAGAAGTCACTGAACATTTCGCTAGTAGCTATGATCAGGCGAATGGAGGATTTGGGTCAGCTCCGAAGTTTCCTACCCCTTCGAAAATTGCCTTCTTGCTCCGTTTGGGCCAATTCCCACAAGCTGTAATTGATATTGTTGGGTTTCCTGATTGCCAAAACGCCCAGGAAATCGCTATTACAACTCTTCGCAAAATGGCTCGTGGTGGAATTCATGATCATATTGGAAATGGCTTCGCTAGATATTCTGCCACTGCCGATTGGTCTCTTCCCCACTTCGAAAAAATGCTTTACGATAATGCACAGCTTCTACATCTCTATTTGGATGGCTTCCTTTTATCACGAGACCCGGAGTTTCTAGGAGTCGCATACGATATCGCGAATTATTTGACGACCACTATTTCGCACTCGAAGGGAGGATTTTATTCAAGCGAGGATGCCGATAGTTATTATAAAAATGGTGATTCCGAGAAACGAGAAGGCGCCTATTATGTTTGGACTAAACGAGAATTTGAAAATATTCTTGGCAGCGAACGTGGATTGATACTGTCAGCTTTCTTCAATGTTACTAGTCATGGTAATGTAGCGCAGGAAAATGATCCACATGACGAATTCATGGACCAGAACGTATTGGCCATTTCAAGCACTCCGTCTGCATTAGCAAGTCAATTTGGCATCAAGGAGGCTGAAATTATAAAAGTTATCAAGGAAGGCAAAGCGCAATTAAGAAGACGTCGAGAATCTGACCGGGTAAAGCCGGCTATGGATGATAAAATTGTTGTCAGCTGGAATGGTATTGCGATAGGGGCTTTGGCTAGATTATCCTCCGTTATCAACGGTTTTGATCCTGTCAAGGCTCAAGAGTACCTAAATGCAGCCCTCAAGGCAGCTGCATTTATCAAGGAAAATCTTTATGACGATAAAGCTAAGATTCTCTACCGGATTTGGCGTGAGGGACGAGGTGATACTCAAGGATTTGCGGATGATTATGCATTTTTGATTGAAGGACTTATCGATTTATATGAAACTACTTTTGACGAAAAGTGGCTTCAATGGGCCGATGAACTTCAACGTAAGTAATTCTTCTTCCAATTGACACATATTGATACTAATGATAATCGATAGAATCACAAATAAATCTTTTCTACGACGGGAATGGTACAGGTGCATTCTTTTCAACTACCGCCTCTGCTCCAGACGTGATCCTTCGTCTCAAAGATGCCATGGATTCTTCCGAACCTTCTACAAATGGCACCTCTTCCTCAAATTTGTATCGCCTATCTTCAATTTTCAACGATGAATCTTACGCCAAAAAAGCGAAAGAAACTGTGAAAAGTTTTGAATCCGAAATGTTACAGTATCCGTGGTTGTTCCCTAGTTTTATGCCGGCAATTGTAGCTAGTCACTTGGGTGTTAAAAGTGTGGTGATTCATGACGCAGCTGGTGATACTTCAGGGGGAAGATGGGTTCAAGAATTTGAAAAGAAACCCCGAGGTTCTTTGGGATCGATTATTCGATTGAATTCTTCGGAGGGAAATGGACAGTGGTTGAGAGACCGAAATCCATTGTTGAAGGATGCGGGGAAGAGTGATAAGACTAAGATACTCGTCTGCGAAAATGGGGTATGTAAAGAAGAGGAAGAGCCTATCTTTGTGGATTCAGGCGTCAAGATGGAGGAAAGTCCCTTGGAAAATGTTGGGTTTCGAATGACCGGTTTAAAAGAATCATTACCGGGCTCGGGAGAAAATTTAAATAAGAGTCAAGGGGAAACAGTCCCAAAGGAAAATCTACAGCAAGCAGATCTGGTGGCTAAAATTAGCGTCGCGGATAAAGGAATGGAAAATTAGGTATATGTGAAAAGGAAAATGTGTGCTTAGCTATCATGGCGTCTTTGTTGATAGGGGTTTTAGCGGAGTTTCAAAGATGTGTGGTAGGGTATGGTGTAGCGTGTATACATTGATTTGGATTTCGCTTACTTGCTTGCTTGATTTGATTACTTGTTTGTTTGTTTGTTTGTTTGTGGATGTTCTCCCTGTTTGCTCTTGGTGATGTGACGTGAAGTGAAGTGGTACTTGATGGGTAGTGTAGTTTTCCAATTGAGATGCGAAATGGTGGTAGCTTGCTGGCCTTTTTTGGAATTAATTATCAGAATTCAGAATTGTGGAGGCCCGAGGGGCGAATCTTCATTCGGTCTTAAGCATTGAGATGTGTACTCCAGAATAGGTATGAGTCCGAATTACAATGCTAGAATAGAAGCGGGGAGGGCATCCGAGAGGGAATAAGGGGAATATGTGTAAGTAATCACCTAGGTGATGAGGATGATCCAGCGCTCTTTAATGGTTTGTGGACATCGATTCGATCACGGCGGTCGCTTTGTGGTTTGGGGGTGTGGGTACTTGATGTCTATGTAGTCGAGGTCATCTTGATTCTTGTATGGTTGTTGAATATTTGCAGGATAGCAAGGATGTATTGTTCACGTTGTTCTAGACTCTGGGTTATTGATATACTCTTCTTTTCTTTCTCCATCTCTCTTTTTTGGGGTCGGCTTTCTTTTTGCTCTACTAGAGAGTGTGAGAGAGATAGTCAGAGGGAGGGAGTGGGAGGGAGAGAGAGAGGGGGGGGTGGGAGAGGGAGAGAATAGACCCCGTTTTGTAATATTGAGAAGCGTACTTATTATGTGATCCAAAAGACTTTTCGCAGAAGTCTTTGTGTAGGGGGTTTGAAATGCTTGTGAGGATATTGGTCTATGGAATTGGATATTAGATACATGATATCAGATTTTCTTATAGTCTGTGAATTTTCAGTAAATTCGTGTAATTAGATACTTCTCTGATACTACAATCTTCTTCTTCAGTCACAGGTGTAAACTTGCACCTATTCATAACACAACAAGATAGGTATTTTCAATGTTTTATTGTGGTCAAAACAGAAAATCCTAATGTACATATAACCCTATCGAATCACACGACATTTAAATATTCAGTCCAAAAATATCTCACGTTCCCAGCGTCTCTTATACTCACAACATCTAACAAAATCTAAAAGCTCAAAATTGCATCATAAACCCCCCTCCCCCCCTCACTCACATAAATAGAAAAGTTCGCAATACACCCATCCCAAACTAGCTCTTATTTTCTAGACCGAAATTCCATCCATCCAACTCCTCGCTATTAATCATCCTATCCTCCCTAACCCTATTTTCACAAAACCAAGAATACCAAATATATATGTGTCCAATAAGAGTAAGCTCGCAAGAAACCAGACTCAACATGCATGTTGACCCAGCGAATCAGAAGAAGAAGATGGTGTTTCGAAATGACCCGCACGAGTACCCGGATCCATATTCTCAATCTCCGCAGAACGGTTATTTGTATTCTTATTTTCCGCTTCGCAATCTTTTCTTTCCTCGTCCGTCAGTCCAGCTGTCGCGGAATCGATTTTGCAAAAGGGGATTAGGATACACAGTGCGATACTTGCGCATGTGACCTCGAACCAAAATACGGCTCTGTAACTATCTCGCAAAGTTCCGCTTTTATTCTGCACCACGTTTGCTATGATTTCGGACAGACCTAGGCATACCGCGATGGAGAATTGCATTATGGAATTGATCAGGGCGCCTGCTAGACCCTGTTGAGAGGAAGGTAGAGAAGTAGTGATGAAGATTGTGGTGACGTTGAATGTTATGTCTATGCCAAAAGTTGCACAGGTCATTGCGGTGAATACCCATGCCCAGAATGTTGCATGTATGGGAGCGAGTGCGAATAGTAAGGGGGCAATGATCCAGCATATACCAGAGAATATAATCAGAGCTGTGCCGGGGATGAGATGGAGTATGAAGCCGCCGAATGTCCCGATAAGACATCCGCCAATAGCGAGCGGGATGAACCATGCAACCAGTTGCAGGCTCGAAGCACCTAGTATGTTGGTGCAGTAGAATGTGGCATAAAGAAGAAAGACTCCAAGACTTCCGTATGTGAAAAATAACGCGATGAATAGAGGTTTCATGTTCGGGACGGCAAAGAGTGAATATGGTAGGAGTGGATAACTTGCAACATATCGCTCGACATACATCGCGATTGCGAAAAGAACTATCCCTGACACAAATGTAATAATGATATATGGGGTCTTGAATCCGTGCGGCGCATAAGCGCTATCCGTTATGGCGAATACGAAAAGTATGAAACTGGCTGCTAGAAGCCCTGATCCAAGCCAATCCATCTTAAGGTCATCGCGCTTATCGTTTTCGGATGGAATGCAAAGCATTGCAGAAGCGACACTTATGAAGGACAAAACAGCCCCCACCCAGAAGAACCTATAACGAGTTAATCTAATCCATTAAACAGACATGATTGTACATACCATGCCCATTTAGCATATTCGGCGGTCAGCCCAGCAAAGAAAATGCCGATGAAGAATCCAGCGGCCCCACATGCACCATATATACCTAAGAAGCGGTCAGATATGTATTGGTTTTATCAAGGGGTACTCACTGAAAACGAGATTCTTCCTTGGTCCTGGTCGATATGTTCGACCTAGTAACATCATCCCGGATGGCATAAATGCAGCTGGCCCCAAACCCTGCAAAGCCCGGCATATATCAAGCATATATTGATCTTTCGAGAATCCAGCAATCAAAGACCAGAGCGTGAGCCATGCGAGACCAGCGATATAAACTCGTCTTCCCCCGTATATATCTGCCAGTCTACCGAAGGGTAGCATTACGGATGAAACCATCAGAGAATAAGCTGCTGCTGGCCATGTTGATGAGGACATTGGGATATTGAGATCTTTCATAAGACAGGGAACAATGACGGCAAATCCGCTGACGAAATACTCCTGCACGAAAGGCGTAAGAACGTAACCATTTCTCCCTATTTGATTTTAACATACCGAAAGAACTTGAGAAACACAAGTGGAAAATCTGAGACATCTCATACATCAGCGCTGAAAAGGGACAGTCAGAGTCGAGACACTATCTTCTTATCGGTGGATTTTGACCCTTCAGGTCGTTTGAGAGAAACCCCATTTGAAAGATCAACATCACCCGAAAGATTCAAATGGAACAAATGGAACACAGCAATTCTACATGATAGAAGAGTAAGATAACGTACACAAAACCGATTTCAGTCCATACTGTCTTGAACTGAGGCGGTCTTTGGCGACCTAAGCGCTCGATATCAGATTTTGCTAAATTCGACATGAGAAATATACAAACAGGTCACCGAGCAAAGTACGAGGGGACTATTCTACTTGTACTTTCAAAGTAGGTAGGGTCAAGCAAATTTATTTGGACGAAGAGTCCAATCAGCGATTATAGCGAGCACTCTTGCGCACTCTCGCACATTGTTGGATGGCGGTCCACATATTTCCAATATGCCGTTCAAGCACCCCTCCAAATCCCTCAGGATATTTGCATACTCGACCAGATGGCTGGTATTAGAGAATGTCCGTAAAGCGGATGCAGCGCCTATTCCACACTTGTCGGCGAGACTTCCCCGATCCTTGCCAGCAGATAGTTCAGAAGACACGACCAATAATATGTTTGCACATGCTAGCATGTGCTTTGATGGAGTACTCGGTCATTCTAGACGTAGAAGGACTTGAACTTTAACTGCTGATTTTGAGCTCAGATAGGCAAGATGGAGAAATGCTTGTTGTGATGAATTGTTGAATGATTGGAAGAGATCATTCTGCTAACGAAGATGACGGGGGAGTGGAGAAGGTCCACGAATAAGCACTAAGCTAGCTCAGCCGTTGCCATTTTTACTATATTAACGAAGAACGCCAAATGATAGAAAAGCGGCAAGCCGGCGGTAGAAAAGGGTTAAACGCCCGTCGGCAGTCACTATCTATATGAGTAAGCCGGTTAGCCAATCAACCCATCTTGAACTCATCTCAAACCTGTTAAGCTATCCCAGCGGTCCTTGGATTTTCATCTATAATACTTCCACCAACCTTCTCTTCCATGACAATACAAACAATGAATGAGGTTTCGAGTGTGAACCCAAGAGAAAACACCATTTGAAGCCACGAGGACATGATCGAGCCTGGCTATTGCCAGATCAGCATGCTATGAGAAGCTCGAGCCATTAAGAATCCCACGTATGGAGCACATGGTATTCCTCCGTGGCATCTCCGTATTTATGCAGAATCAGTTTCATACCAAGTGGCGCAAAACAGCCTCTACTTTCAGCTATTTTTGTTCGAGACTGACACTCAAACGGCTGTGCAACCTCAAGGAAGATGCAAAAGTTGGGACGCAAAAGCTTGCTTTTCAGAATATTATGGTATCTGCTGCCCAGGCAAAATAAAATGCCCGAATATATGCACCCGGAAAGATCGCTGGCATTCAAAAAGTGCCGTTATAGAATGAAATATATCAAACAAGTATGTATGCGTGGATACACGTGCCTTCACTCCCGAAATAGTTTCTGGAACAACTCGTCCGAAACCATTACCTACATTGGACAGAACATTCGGCATCGACCTGTTCGCCACAATATTTGACGGGGAAGAGTGGACCGAAGAATACCCTTGACACGCACCTACTGTTGTGGCGGTGAAATGAGCGTTTTCGGTCTCCATCTGCTGCTTGGCTAGACGACAAGTGTCGTGCTGAGATGCCTCAACGGTATTTGAATCTTGAAACCACCCGATCTGTTCCACGCAATGTAAATCAGACACTGCGGCTGAATTTCCAGGCTGCATGTACATCAACGCATAAAATAATGCTGCATCCAGAAACTCTGTGCTGTTCTTTCCTTGGCATCCGACCTCTTGAATTTGAGTTCACTTGATAATACACTTCTCCGCTGCCTCATCCGCTTCACCCCCTCCATAGTACCATTCTTGAGCCTGGGCTTGATTCTTCAACTCCATTTCAAATCCGGAACACATTTTCCCCACTATTCTGAGACCTCGCCTCAGTACAGAACTGGTCTCTTGTAACACTAGGTCGTGTGACCTCTTCAAAGTTTCTTGGTGTTCCCATATTCCCTATCGTGTCTTCAATGGTTGCATTTCTCCATAATAGTAAAGATACAACAGAATCTCTGAGTCTACGTTCTTCTCAAGCACGAAGAACACAGAGACGATGGCAAGACCATGCTCCAACTATTCTAGTGTGTTGAGATTGTCATCGTAACATCTCTCTACTAGCTAGCAATTAAGCTGAGCACGCCAACAAATGTAACAACAAACGAGGAAAATGGCAGACTAAATTCTTACCTCTATCTCTGCTATTTTTGCCCTACAATGACTCTTGGCGATCATAATAAGATATCAGGCTCCCTTTAACGTCTTGAAGCCCTTTAATTATTCTTCTATCTACCCTAGAGTCATGCTAGGCGTTGTTGTCGCTATCACTCCACGCTATACTATCCAAATAATCTCCTCAGATGTATACTTATCGCCCATAGACAAGTTAGAATGCGCTACAAACAGCCGCACGGAAAGCAGGGTAAGCAGAAATAATTTATTTCAGCAGTCTAAAAGTTCTGGATGCACCAGAGCCATGGGAATCGTTGTAAGTAGAAATGATCTGCTTCATCATACTTCAACCACTTGCCATACTAGCTAGCTACAATACTGATAAGGTATAAGCCATCTTGCTCTTATTGAGGACATCGTCCAGCCAGCTTCACGAATTAATCTTAAATTCAAATTTAGAAAATCTCTCTAGATTTCTCCATAGCCAAGTAGCCAATAATAACAGACAATTGAATAGAAGATAAAATAAGATGTAGGATTCTTTGCTCGTGAAACTTCCTCGATGAAAATAGCTTGCGCTAAGGTCTAGATGACGGCAATCCATAGCTCTCCACCACAGTTTAGATTCCGATTGGACTCTATTTCCCAGATGATTCAACATACCAAATAGACATATCATATGTCCTAAATCTCCCCGTAATAAAATAACTTCTTCATTCATTTTCAGAAGATGCAGAAGCTCATATTTGCTGATTCCCTGGGACAAACAATTTGGGTTTAAAACACCGGAGACACGTACGTATATTTGCAAGTTGCAACCCCAACTACGCAAAGCATACTCAAATACTCAACATAAACATCTCAAAACCTATCTCTCCCACTCTACTTCGCCCACCAGTCCCCCAACTCTACGTATACAAATCCAAATCAATCTCATGATCCATCTCCTCCCCCTGCCCCTCCATCTGCTTATCCATCCCCACAAACCCCACATTCATATTCTTCACCTCCTTCTCCACCACCTGTTCCACCTTCATCAACACATACCAATACCCCTCTTTCATATGCTCCTCACATCTCGCATTCCGACTCAAAATCATCACATCCTGTTTCCTCTCCACTCCGTCCTCATCATCCAACGCCCCCGCCTTACTTAAAACATCCACCTCACTCCCCTCAGCAAAAATCCCTTCCGTCTCATCGCGCGGCTCGTACGCGAGGAAGTATCGATGCACTTCTGTGCAAGTTGTTAAAGAGAGATGAGAGAAGCGGTAATAGGTAGTGCATGCTGGGAGTTTAGCCACAGAAGGAGGGAAATAGAGGGTAGCGAGGGAGTCGACGAGGAAAGTGTAGAAGCGTTGGAGATCGGGGGGGAAAGAGGAGGAGAGGGGAAGGGGTTTCCGACAGCAGAAATAGGGTTCGCTAGGTAAGGGAGAGATGATTGTTGTGGAGGAGGGTGCCGCGGTGCGCGTGTTGGGTGGGGGAGAGGGTTTTTGGTAAGCGCCTGCGGAGGGGGGCTTGGGGGTAGAACAGGGCGTGTGTTTGGGGGTTCCTTTGGGAGTGCTTTTTGGAGTGCTCTTTTGGGGTTGGGGTTTGGAAATCCCTCCTTTTGGGGGTGCTTTGGTGATTTTGGATGATTTGAGAGTTGCTTTTGTGGGTTTTAGAATTTCGACATCGACGTCCGCGATGTCTTCTTCGGCTTCTTTACTGGGTTTGAATGTATCATCTCGATCAACTTTTTTCTGGCCCGCTCGTGGCATATTTGCTCCTGGTTGCTTATTTCTGGGTTTGATTGAGAAGTTGAGTATCGTGGTGTACGGAAGAAAATAAAAGTAGATGCTTTTCTTCGAAGATTAAAAAGACCGAAGAATAGTATAAGCTTCGAAATTCTTTGTTGTGTTGTAACTCACTCTAAGACGCATTTCGATTCTCTTTGTTGGTGTAGTCGTCAGTACTTGAAGTTTCCACATTAATGTCTCATGCTGATTCCTTTGTTCTGAAAACTAAACTGATTCAGAATAATGCTAGTAGAATCTTATAAAACTGTTTCATTTCTTTATGTATGGATGAAATCTCAAGCCTCTTCATCGGATAAAGAAATATTTGATAGACATAGCATCACTGTAGAATTCGAATTAATTATTAAGCCCTTGAGATTTGTACATACTACGAAACTCCAATTGTATACAAGAAGCAAAAGTTTATCTCTATCAAATTCTCAATACTCACAAGCATCCCAAAATGCCTTTGCCAAATTCTCTTTCCCAACGCCCCCCTATCCCCACTCCAAGCGAGGGCACCAAAAACACCACCTCGTCAACCCCCAAACTCGACGAAAAAGCAGACGACAAATCTCCTCCTGCCCCAATACCCTCAACCGATCCCGATCGCCGCTTCTCCTCTATCTCCCCCACCACTCTAATCCCCACAAGTACCACTCCCCCCCCAAACCTCACCGCAGAAGCCCTCCTCGCACTAACCTCCCAACCCCTCAGTCACGGCGCAGCCTGGAGCTCTGCTCCTACCCCACGAGCACGATTCCTCCCACAAGCCACCGAAGTAATCTACACCTGCTCTTATGGTGGTGAAGTCTACCCCCAAACTGCTCGCCAAATAGCTAGGGCTAAATGCTGGATATCGAGGCGCAAAAATAGGGAAAACTTCAAGAGAATTGAAGCAAAGGAAGAGCATTTGGCGCAGCAGAGAGAAAGAGAACGATGGTTTAAGCCGGCGAAGAAAATTGAGTACTTGGACGAGGAGGGTGTAAAGCCCTGGGCTATTTTTGAGAAGAAAAAGTGGCATCGATATTGAGTTAGGATACTGGGCGGATCGAGATACATTCTCTTTCTAGGGAGCGAGTGGAAATTAGATAGAAATGAATGAGATTGGAAGATTTCCTTACACTTCGTGTTCACAATATCTTCTCTAGTACCTTTTCGGATTTCAGAGACTGGTCTCGTTGAAGAATTCATAGTTTTTGAAATTAAATATACAATTTGCCATCGTACATAAATTTGACATTCCAGATGGAACACATGATTGAGTGACTATACGTGAAGTGATACAAATATCAAGAACTTGATTTACCAGATTGCAGTATGAGCCGGTGCAAATATCGTTGTGTATAGGTGGCCATGTATATATCCGTGAAGACCCGAACCACCGTTATGAAAATGTGAAAATATCAGCAAGTTTCGCTTGACAACATCTCTGATAGCTTGTAAGAGTTTGGCTGCATTGGATGAAAATAGTAGAATGAAACAGAAAAGGTTGGAAAAGAAAGGAGCGTTGAAGAAATCAACATCCTCGATGTAGATATTACATTCTTCCCTATGCAACAAGATTATGTCTCTATAACTACACCATTTTCTTGAAGTTCTGAAAATGACATCGCTTTCTAATGGTATACCCGACAAATTGTTAGTCAATACCAAAGAATGCACTATCAAATTGACCATGCTCCATTTCGCCTATTTCTCCTCCAACATTTCCATCGTCATCATTTTCAAAGAATAAATCATCAAATACACTCTCGTCGGCTCCGACCATATTATCGAGGTTTGAGTCCATGTCCATGTTATTGTCATTGTTATTATTGTTGTCATTCGTATCACCGCGAGCAGCCATGTTCAGGATATCATCCATTATATCTCCTTTAGAAGTTGTCGTAGTGATGTTTGCGCTATTATGATTATTATTATTATTATTAGAAGCCTCGTTAGAAGGTTGTAAATCGTTCATGTTAAAGTCTTGGGGGTTGCTCCCAAATGTGGAGAGGTCAAACTCGGTATTTTGTGTGTGGTTATTATCTTGACTTTGAGTATTGGTGGCTGCGTCTAGCATTGAAAAATCCATACTTTCGAAGTTGAGAGCTGCGGAATCTGCATTGGCAGCGCTGTCTGGATTATCGAAAAGAGAATCGATTGAAGAATCTTGTCCGCCTCCTGTGGCCGTTTCAGGGGCGTCTGTGGAAGCGGGAAGCGTAGTGTTTATTCCAAGGCCAATTGGTTGGGATTTGTTGTCGTTTGTACTGGGCGGAGATGAAGTCGTGGGTTCTTTCGTCTCTTCCTCATCTCTAATTTCTCTTGCCATTTCATTTTTGATTGGGGTTTCCTCTTCCTTCGCAATTGTTGGCATGGGATCGTTGTCTTGGATCGTCTCTTGCTTTGTTGCTGAAGGTATATCTTCGTATGAGATATGCGGAGGTGGTGTGGGCTCATGTACGACGGGGTTCTCTATGTTTTGGGCAGGGGGGTTCTCTGCCGCAATTCGTTTCGATCGCAATTCCTCTAAATCTCGACCCAGAACTGATTTTGCCCGTATCTGTAGTCTCGAGTCAGTGCTGCACAACTAGAGATTCAAGCATTCAGTCCACTTACAATCTCAGCTTCAAGATCATCCAAAGCTCGGTGGAAATTGTCGGTTATAGATGGAATAGTCGAGTGTAGTCTGATGGCCGAGATGGCCATGGATTTTCCTCCCTCAGCACCTGTGGCACGAAGAGCTTTGCCAGTTTCTATAAGCTGAAAAATATGTTAGATTATGATTCAATGATCGAAAGCCCAGTACATACAATCGCATTGATCTGGATTTGCAGGATCTCCAAAGGAGTTTTGGGTTGTTGTGCTTGAGCCATGGTCAAGAGAGAGTTAGTGTGCTAGCAGGTGGTGTGAAGGTCGGGAGAAGAGTTTTCTAAGAACAAGATTGAATCTATCATAGAGGAAAAAAGAGTCAACCTTCCTGTCCAGAAAAAATACCTGCGTGGTGAATATTGGTAGACTTTTAGATTCCATTTACAATGATGGTTTCATCATACATCGTAGTACCGATGAAAGTCATTGGAGGCTCGGCGAACATTCTTCCGCTGATATCCACTTTAAAGAGCACTGTACCAAGCTTACATAACATTATAAGGCTCATTTTGAGCTTTGCACGGTTTACTAATCAATTGATGCTCAATCATAGCTTTTTGACATACGCCTTGTTCCTGTCGTTCAGCAGGTACGGACCTGTGTAGAGAATAGTTTAAATGAAAATCAAGCATATGCCAATCAGTCAGCCTATCTACATACGCATACACCATTAAGCCAGAATATAGTTGAGTCATGTCTTTCCTTGATGCAATTATCGATGCCTCACCGCATGCAAAGACGTTCAAAAGGCTTGTGCAAACCTACCAACCAGGAGTGATCTTCAAAGTAGGATGGTACAACTGGAGGGGTAAAGCAGCAAAAGAAATGATGGATGAGTAGGTATCATGTGAAGATTTATTGCCCTCAGACCCTGCTGTTGCGATAGGAATGTATTCAATCAATGCAGGTGATATCTCGCTATTGGTTTCATGTTGGAACAGCATGGAGCTATTGACGAAGGTGTTGCTCACAAACCCATGCTGACCTTTTCAATGCTTTTGAGGCGTTAAATCACACCTCCGTGATAAGTAAGGCAATTTCACTCTCACATATTACCAATCATCCAATAGAAGCAAAGAATAGATAGAGGTTAGGTCGTCTTTCGCTCTATAGGAAGTAGCCGAGACAAATCCAAAAGCATTCTTAAACCAAGGTGCTGTACCTGATGAACCTGACAATGACCTTTAAGAGAAATTCCATAGTTGCTTTGTACCTAAAATACTTAATTGGTTAGTTACTCGAATCTGTTAGATGGTCTTTTTAATAATACAACTTCTTATCCGTCTCTACGTAGCTTGTCGGAACTATCAAGAAAATGGGTTATCCGTCGAAACTAGAGCTGTCGGGACGTAAACTTTGGTTAAACCCCTCTGATGAGATTGCAAGATAAGCTTCGATTCCATGTCTGTGTGGTGCTCACTGCGCAATGCTCATGCCTGGGGCCGCACGGAAGTTTAACTTCAAGAAAGATGGGATGATCTGTCCACAAGACGTTGACTAATACCATGTGCCTTGATATCCCTTCCCGTCGGTATAGCATCATCTACTTCCTTGTAGTAACTTTCTCGGACCGCTCCAGCGGGCAGCATTTGAACAGAGTAATGATTCCGTTCCGTGTGTGCTGTGCAACGGGGGGTCTTGCTGGTAGTTTACATACAGACAGTTCATGCACAATATCCTGGCTGTAGGTGATGGCCAATGAAGATTGAAGCCAGGGAGGTAGGAGACGTGTATCTAACAGCCAATCAAAAGATTCCCGTGAATTGATTTGGGGAAAAAGTCGAATGAAGTAATTGTAGAAAGAATCAAGATTTTGGGTAAAAGATGTACGATGTAGAAACAGCCAAGATATTTATAGAAACAGATGTTGTGGAAGTGAATCTATGTCCTGTAGGTAGCTGACTGTACTATGTACCTATATGATAGATGTCCTCAAGGAATTGAGTTCGTATCCTAGCTAGGGAGCTAGAGTAGGTATAGTTCACCAATCGATTGTGAATGATATGTCTGTAAAAATCCGAACCCGCACTATTCATACATACTCACGACATATACTCAATAAAAATAAATACCGTAGCAAGTATATTCCTTATTGACATGTATCTACCTCTCATACTTCAATGGAATCTTGATAGAACTCCAAGCCAAGAACTATTGAGCAGCTGGAGGACTCAATGATACCCATGAGAAGAAATCATGGACGATAATATCCCATCCAACCCCACCATTCAAAATATCCGGAAGAATTTCTAAAGGCGAACCTCTTGATTGAATCAATTGAATTTATCCCAAAGAGTTCACTTGCATTAAAAGGAAGGAATCTCCGTACATAAGCGAAAGAAGCAGACGGAAATTAGCTGTTGAGCAATCAATCACATCAGTACCTAGTAGATAGGTCCTCATATAGGTTATATATCATTGAGCGAGAGAGGAGAGAGAAGATACAAATCTGTCGGCCGAGTGAACCCACAGGAATGAATGGTAGGTAGTAATAAGTACAAACAAAGTATGTGAATATGGATGAACCAAGTTGTCAATGTTATTAGTTTACCTAGTATATCCATGGATTATTATAAGTTAGTATATAACCATACCCAGTCTCGAGACAGTCACAGTTATCCCAAGAGTGAATTGATGATAATCCACAACCTCAGGTACCTACATGTCATCCCTAGTAATATTGAATCTCTTTGGCTTACCCGGACCCTATCTTGTACCTAGTAGCCTTGTCTATTAGTTAGCGTAGAAACTAACAGAAAGAAAGAAGAGCTACAACCTACCGTTTTTACCAGAAAAAGGACCCTCCTCCATTCATCTTGCAGTAAAAGTAATTTGCGCCGAACTTCTACTTTCACCTCCCCCCTCCCCGCCCCAGCTTCTCTTCGTTCAACATCTTTTTTCCTACTGTGTGCAAGAAAAATCATTTGCAGCGTCGTCTCTTTCCATCTCTCCTTTTCAATCTACTGTCAATACAAGGCGTTTGGATCTTCGAGTGGTGTTTGTCTCCTCTCTATTCCTCTCGTCTTTTTTCACGGTCGTGATTGATTAATTTCTTACATATTCATACCTCTCCCAATCTATCATCATCGTCTCATCCTCTTTATTTCTCACTCGGTATTCTGGGATTTGGTCGCAGGAAACCCCTCCTTTATCAATCTCTTACTCTCTGCTACTTCTGCATCGTCTTAAGCTTCATCTTAAACTTCCTCTGTTCACTTGAATTCCAAAGTCCAATTATTCATTCACACAACAAGTGATTAACAACTTGTTGCTTATTTAACTTTCCCATCGATCTATTTCGCAAGTCATCTATCGAATTTTCGAGTCTCACGCGCTTCTTATCGTCAAGTTACACAAGAACATAAATCAGCGCACCTTCGCAACTCAACTTTTTTCGTT